TGATTATTGATGGCTGCCAAATGGAGTGGTGTATTGCCTCGAATATCGCGGATTGCCAGCAGCACTCTGCGCTTCTTTCTGTGCAGCGATTCAAGTAGAATGCTCAACGATACAACGCTTCCACTATCTGTTATGAATTGTGCTTTCAGCATTGATTCCTTATACAAGTTTATTAGCGGAAATTGACACGGTTTCAGCGACTCGTTCAGGATACTTTTCTGTTTTAGTGGCACGAAGAGATCTAGTGAAACAACACACTTACACGCAGCACAATGCACAGCATTAGCGCCATCCTTGGTTGGCCATAGGATCGCATTGGGCACAGAACGTTGCATGAGCCATCTGACAATGTGAGCATTACCACTGAGACATGCCACGTGCAACAGCGATTGACCTTTATCCGATACAGCACTGATGTTTGATCGAGCCTTCTCAATTAGATATCGCAAACACGTCAAATAACCACCTTGCACAGCGTACAATGCAGGCGTACAACCTGAATTACAACAAAGAAATATTTTACAGATATTTAATAAAATTGGAACTGAATCCGTTCCTGTAAAGGTATTGTAATCACTGAGATATTGGCATTAGCAAAACTATTGTGACACTCACCAAATAAGTCTCGATAGTTGGCCATTTCACTGTCATATTTGGTTGCGATTCGGATGAACTCAATATTACCTGCAAAAAGTTTCGAGAGCACATACGTTTGTGCGATGAGTGAGCGTAATGAATGTGAAGTGAATGTGATGCACACCTACCTGTAGAAGCGGCCACATGTAACGGTAACATACGGCAATTGTTTTGCAGCATTGCTAAAGGCTTGCCGAATGTTCGTAATAGCCACAGGGCCATGTCGTTGTCTTGTCTGGCGACCGCAGCCATCAGCACACTCGTTCCGTTGATGTCACGTTGCATGGCGCGTTTCATTGCCCTCTTCATGCTGTCACTAAGCAAGTACTCAACGCATTTCGATTGTCCCTCACCTGCGGCCAACAACGAAGCATTCTCGCCGCACACTGATATCACATCGGCTGTTTGCGGTACACGTTTCATGAGAATGCTGCAATAGGCTTTTCTGCTTTTCTACTTTGTTCGAAAGCGTTTTGAGTTACGATCAAAATATGTGGTGCCCTGGAACACCTGAAGTGGCGGCCATCGTGCAGGTGAGGCTTCTAATCACTGAGCAATCACAACTAAAATTCCGTTGCTGAGAAAGTGAACAATACTCGGCGCAATTCCTTGATCACTTACGTGTGTGTACACAATTGAGTAGAGCAGAAATTGGCACGAAATCGTTCCTAATTAATCGCTCAATTAATCGAACAATCAAAAATAAATATATTTTCAGTAGGATTTTACTCGATTGCTTCCAAGTTTCCAAGTTTGGCAGCGATATGTAATGGTGTTTGATGGTATTGATCTCGTTCTTGCAACTGCTCATTGTTCATTCCTTTCAAGCATTCCACATGTCCTGAACGTATCGCTCGGAATGCAGTCGCACAGCAAGACGCCGCTTCTCGTTGTGGAAGAGGAGGAGGCAGAGGCGATCGAGTCGCACTCGGAGAAGTCGACTTTTTCATTTTCATTTCACCTATCGAACAGCTGCTGCTCTTGCAAGGGTTGTTTGCAAAAAATCAACTAAAATTTACATTTCACATGAATTTGATATGAAACCAATTCAAAGATTTGTAGCGCACAACAAAAATAATTGTCGACGATTATGCATAAGCGTGCGATTGAGGACATTATCGTATAGTAATTAAGTGCTGCAATTTTAGAGAGCAACAAAACGAGCAAAGAAACATTAACATGAATAGATGCATTATATCCTCACAACAGTAATTCGTTTTCCGGTAAAAATAATTAGTATTCTGTGAAATGTAAGCGCAAGTATGTGTGCAATGTGAGCATCGAATGAAACGTCAACAATAGGTACTGTTGAAGAGAACATCACCGAGCGAATCATACACGAACAGTCA